TCTCTGCCAGCTGCCGCGCCGCGACCTGATTGGCTGCCGTTTCGCGCGCTTCCCCTTCTCTCACAGCCGAGCAGGAGAGAACAAAAGGTCAATGAGTCCGCTGTGCTGAGGGCAGGAACCTCACGTGATACTCCATCTCTCTCTCTCTCTTGCATGCTCACTAACACTTGTTCCAGAAGCATCTACAAATGAGCCTGCTTTGAAAAATATTTTTTTCTCTCTCTCTGTCTTACAAAAACATACAGGTTAAATATGCTACTGTTTATGGAAAAGGAAATATTTATAGATAGAACGACAGAACGATAAATAGAATGAATGATAGATAACAATAGAATGACAGATATAACAATAGAAAGCCAGAATGTAAGTACAACAAAATGATAGAACAAAGCAAGAAAATAAGATGGAATGTTAGGACGATATATAAAACAAAAGAAACGAACTAACGGATGGATGGATGGATGAATGGATGGAATAATAGAGTGACAAAAAAATGTATAGAACTGTAGATAGATAGAACGATAGACAAAATGATAGAACAAAATAACAACAGAATGATAGGTATAACAATAGAAAGGCGGATAAAACATCAGATAGAACAGTAGAATGATAGAATGAAACAACAGAATGAAATAGAATGTTAGACAGAATGATAAATAAAACAATATAAAATAAGATAAAAAGACAGACACAGACAGACAGACAGATATTGGTTTGACTGCCAGGTGAGAGCAAAAGGCAGACAGACAGACAAGACAGGTGAGAGTGTTAGGAGGAAAGAGTTCTCAGTAAGATCAACTAGAACTGAACTATCACTGAACTAGAGCAGCACAGCTGGAGTTTCTACCTGTGTGGGAGTCTGGTTTTTGGTATCGAGGCAACACAACACGCTCCTGACTAACATTACAGGGGCCTCTAGTGGTTAAGTGGCACCATGACGACACACGGCTATTATTTTACAGAACATTCACTAACTGCCAGCATCGATTAAAGGACCTTTATATTTCAGGCTCCATTGTGAAGATGTTGTTTGAAGTCTGAGAGGGAACATGTAACTCAAGGAGCACAGAGAGGTGGTGAGGGCTCCTGGGGATCTGCCAAACTTCATTATCTCAGCATGACACACACACACACACACACACACACACATGTGGCACTGACTAGCACCATCAGAGTGTGTGGCACTGTAACTGAACACACAGAACGGCCTCCTCATTCACGTGGCACAGAGTTGCAATAGGCACGGTTACCATGGTTACCACAGACACTGGATACAAGGCCAGCTGCGTTTTGGCGGGAAAATTCCCCCTGAAAAAAAAAAAGCTTTTGTGTACTTTAATATTCTTTGTACTGAAAGGAGGCGAAGATAAGATCTAATTTCAACTGTGAGGGGGAAGCAAACAGGGTATTTCTTTACTCTTCATTGTTTGTAATATTCAAAAATTGTTTGCAATACGCAAAGTTTTTCCAAATTTCACCTTTACAAATAATACTGTTGTGATGATACCACAGTATAGTAATAGTCACAGCTAGTAATACCATGGCATTTTGATATATTCCATGCACTTACAAAAGAGTACCAAAAAGTACCATGGTAATACTATGGTATTCTGGACATACACATGATATTTTGGAAATTTATCATAATAGTACTATGGTATTCTCGGACATACAATTAAGTACAATGTATAAACCATGCCACACAAATTTCATTACCACGGTATATTTCAAAGTACCATAGTACTGCCATCTGATACGATCACTGTATCTAATACTATCATATATTATATTTTTTGAAAGTGCCATGTCAAAAAACCAACAAACAAAAAAACAGTGATAGATTCAGATGATAATACCATGGTATTTTGATATATACCATGCACTAACAAAAGAGTACCAAAAATAAAATGGTAATACCACAGTATTTTGGACATACACGTGATATTTTGAGTGACGTGACATGTGGCCAAGTATGGTGACCCATACTCGGAATTAGTGCTCTGATTGTTTATCATAGCATTACTATGATATTATGGTATTCTTGAACATACCATTGAGTACAATTTATAAACCATGGCACACAAATTTCATTACCATGGTATATTTCAAAGTACTATAATACTGCCCTCTGATACCATCACTGCACCATGGTACATTTTTATTTAGTGCCATGGTACTATGTCCAAAAAACATAGTGATGGTATCAGATGGTAATACTGTGGTATTTTGAACATACACATGATATTTTAGACATTTATCATAATAGTACTATGTTATTCCTGGAAAAACAATGAACTACAATATATAAACCATGGTACATGTATTTCATTACCATATACCATATGTATATTTCAAAATACTATAGTACTGCCATCTGATACTATCACTGTACAGTGGTATAGTATGTTTTTGTAAGTGTAGAGACATGGTACTAAGTCCAAAAAAACATATGGTAATACCATATGATATATATCATGCACTTGCAAAACCGTACCAAAAAGTACATTGGTAATACCATGGTATTTTAGACATTTACAATAACAGTACTATGGTATTCTTGGACATACCATAGAGTACAGTATATGAGCCATGGATTTCATTACCATGGTATATGTCAAAGTACCATACTACCATCTGATACTATCACTGTACCATGGTATAGTTTTTTTTTTAAGTGACAGATTAATTACATAGCATGCATTACCACAGTAAATTTATAGTATCAGATGGTAATACTATGGTACTTTCAAATGGCACTAAAAATCAAATATTATTATATAGTACACCATGGTGCTATTTTGTAAGCATGGTAAGCAAAATATTTTGCAATGCAACTGTGTAAGAACAATCTTACAGAGAGTCATATTTGTCAATCTGCTAATTTAATTAAACAATTTATGGTCACATTGTGTCACAATGAGAAACACATGAAATGCGTCACTCTATCAGGCGTTATCGCAATTTGAGGAATTGTTAACGCAGTTTTAGGAAGGGTGTAATAAAACACACTCCATCGACAAACAGACAAAACGCCTTTTTCAACCTGGGATGAAGTCCAAGAGCTTTTAGTCATACGACACTGCTTACTAACAAAGACTGCAGGACATTTAACCGATTCACACTTCAAACATAACTGGTTACATATTAACACATTTATTGTACAGTAAGTATAATAGCCAAGTCATAGCAGAGTTTGTGCAGAATAGGTTGGCAAACAGTAAACGTGCACAAGGCTCAAAGGGTTAGTTAATCGAACGGTTAAGGTCTTAAAATGTATTTCCTCCCTTTAGGTGTGGATTGCAACAGATGCTTCAGGGGGTAAACTCTCATTCATATTGATATAATTCTCAGATTATGAGTAGGTGATCTTTACAAAGACTTAAAGGGACAGTCTACCAAAAAAAATGAAAGATTTGTCATCATTTACTCACCCTCATGTCATTCCAAACCCATCTTTCTTTCTCCTGCGGAAAACAAATGCAGAAAATATGAAAGTTTCACTTTTCAGTGCAATTATAAATCAATTGGTGCTTAAACTTTCAAGTTTTGAAAAACAACAAAAGCATCATAAATCTGGTTTATCCGACTCATACACTGGATTTCAAGTCTTCTGAAGACATACGATAGCTTTGCTTGAGAAACAGACTGAAATGTATGTCTTTTTTCACTGAAACATTTCAATTGGTTTTGTAAACTGGATCAACCAATTCACCGAGAAAAAAAACAAAAACACTCAAGAGAACAATTCGGTCACAAATCAGAATTATGAACGTCAAGGAGAGCTAGGGTGGATGGCAGAGCTAAATTAAATAACTTTACATTTAAAACTATTTAAATTGAAGCCTGTTTCTCACACAAAGATTTGGAATGACTTTAGAAGATACACAAGTTATATGGACCACTTTTTTAGCACTTTTGCATCGTTTTTGAGATTTCAAATACACAGACTACTTTCTTCTTAACAGAAGTTTTCCTTCATGACATAACTGTGATTTTACAGTCATCATGTGAGTATATCCCAAGTGTGAAATACACATACAAACACACAAACATGGAAGTGTTCACAAAAACAAGGCCAAAAAGTAACACTCAAGTGATGTCAAACACTCGACAGCTTTCTAAAATCAAGTATGCATGACATGCTTGCATACACTGCCATTCAAAAGCTTGGGATCAGTAAGATGATTTTTAAAAATGAATTAAAACAATAAATACAATTAATACTCTTATTTAGCAAGGATGCATTGAAATTGATCAAATGTGACCAAATAACATTATTGTTACAAAAAAATTCTATTTCAGATAAATGCTGATCTTTTGAACTTTCTATTCATTAAAGAATCCTGAAAAAATGGCTTCCACAAAAATATTAAGCAGCACATTGTTACTTGCTTGTGTTAGGGGAAAATACAATCTGTTGTTGTCAAAACTACCAGAAGTGTACTTTCTAAAAACATTATTAACATTAAAGCACAAGTGAAGTGTGTGCAGTCATTTCTGAGACTGAAATCACAAGTGGTTTTGCCTCCTCATCAGTCATGAGAAAGTGTTTTGTGCAGCAGCATTATTAAAGCCAATTATGAGACAGATGCCGGTTTGATGCGGCGATCAGGAGGGAGATGAGAGCAGCATCACGTGGTGCGTCAGAGATCATGGCCATGACCAATCACAGATGCTGGCACAACTACAGAAGACACAACCAGACACAAGTTTATTAGGAGCGCCTAATGAGGAGGAGGGAGGAGAAAGAGAAAGCATGCTTTGGGCGCTCAACTTTAGCTCTGGCACAACTTAAAGGGATAGATTAGCCAAAAATGTTAATTCTTCTATTCAAGCTCATGTTGTTCTGTAGGAGTTTCTATCGTCCATGGAAAACAAAGGGAGATGTTTTGAAGAATGTCCAAGCTGCTGTTTTACATATAGTGAAAGTGAATCGTTAAAAAAAATGACAAATAAGCACAATAAAAAGTAAAGCATAAGAGCTGCATGAATTACTATTAAAGTATTTATCAATATTTTGAATTAGCCTATTTTTCCATTTCTATTTAATGATGTGCTTTTGTGACTTTTATTAGTTTTTGTTGAATATTTCTACTTGGCTTTAATTGTATGGCAACACTTTACTCAAGTTATACTTTAATAAGGTTTCATTTGTTAACATTAGTTAATTAGCTTACATGAACTAACAATGTAAAGTACTTCTAAACAATTTATTAATCTTAATGTTAACTTCAACATTTACTAATACACTATTAAAATAAAAAGTACCTATTATTATTATTATTTAATAGACCCGAGCTAACATAACATAAAATGAACAGTAGTATTTTTTTCTATAACGTTAACAAAATTAATAAATACTGTAATAAATGTACTGTTCATAGTTCATGGTAGTTAATGCATTAAGTAACGTTAACTAATGAGACTTTAATGCAAAGTTTTACCATTTTTGTTTCAGTTAAAAAATTAAACGTAAAACGTAAAAACAACTTACACTATTGCATGGCTTCAGACTTTTTAGATTTTTTGGTTCTTGACATTCCCTTCCCTTGTCACCATATATTTTATGACAAAAAAGCAGCATGAACATTCATCAAAACACCTCCTTTTAGGTTCCACTGAAGAAAGCAAATCATATGGTCTTGTAATGACATGAGGGTGAGTAAATGACAAAAACTGAATTCTTCTGTGAACAAAACCTTGAATCAGTCTATGGAGTCAACACTAATGAATGTTATTGCTTAGTTACAAAAGACATCAAAAGTCTGTGTGAATGTGTCATAGGTTGATACTCTCATGGACAGACCTGAACACACAGACCAAGGTCACAGACGCATGAATTTACTTAAGCGTTAGGGAGGGAAATCCCAAGGGAAGTGAGGCAGGTGTTTTTAGTTTACTGTAAAACATACAAAACATACATGAAAAGATATAAGGAAGCGGAATAACTGGAGTAAAGTTCAAGTTCAGGGCTGTTTGGAGTGAGTGTGTGTGTGTGTTTGTTTTGTGGTTTAGGAAGCTGTTGCTGGTGGATAATCTAACGTTCTGGAAGTGAGTCACTACACAAGCCTCAGTAATGGGATGAAATCTCACTGACTCACTCTCCCTTTTAAGCACACACACACACACACACACACACACACACACACACAGACTCCAATGTTACAAGCTGGAGCGCTCACCTCTTAACTCGTCCCAAATGGAGAAAGAAAACAGGATTACATAAAGGGTCAACAGATGGAGTAAGAACAACACAAACAAAAAAACAGGACAAATTGACCTTGGTTACTTTTATCTTTAGTCAGGTGTGACTCATTGAACTGTGGTCAATGACCCTTCCGCTGCAGTCCAATGCAATCTATTAAAATATTAATGTTACCATGATATTACTATGGCACCAAAACATATTTTAATGCTCAATTCACACTTAAAAATGTCTGCATGTCAAAACATTGAATATCAAAACATACATAAATGACTTATGTCAACAAACTATGCTAGACCTTTTCTCATTATTACCTAACTGGAGAAAAGGTGATTTTAGCACCTTATTTTATTATTATTATTATTATTATTATTATTGAGATTATTATATTTGTTATATTGTGTTATTTCTTTTTCTTGACATTACGTGCTTTGGCAATATTGTAAGCACAACCAAGCCAATAAATTACTTTAAATTGAAACTAAATAGTTTATGTATTAAAATATGTTTACATTAATATATAGTGTATTTATACTTTTTTTTTTTTTCATTTAGAAGCAAGCTAACTTCTATTTGTGAACTGCTTAGCTTGGAAAATGCGCCTCTTTGTATCTGATTCAGTGCCTTTTAGATATTTTTAAGCGTGGTGTAAGTGTCTAAATTCACATTTAGGGGGCCACTGTAACTGTCCAACAATAATATTAAGTAAACTCACAGGTTAGTGTTCATCAATGACGTCTCAGGTTACTTATGTAACCATGGTTCCCTGAGTAGGGAACGAGACACTGCGTCCTCTAGGGGTCGCTATGGGGAACGCCTCGTTGTGACCAGTGTCTGAAGCATACATTGAAAAAACACCAACTCGTTGGCCGGCGACAGCCATGACGTCACTACCGGTGAGTGACTGATCTGTATCATCCAGGCAGTGCCTCAGGTTTACTAAAGGACCCGGACTTCACATGGACCTCACCAGCAGTATTTTAGCGCACAGAATTCAACAATATCTCCTTATAAATCTTAAATGTATAAATGAGTTATCAGCATGAAATGCTTATGCTCGCAAAAATCTAAATTACCAACATGATACAAAAGCTGAATAGATCAACTGACATATTAATACACAAATGATCGTGTAAAATGACCAAAAATACCTTTTTGGTCGCACTTCTTTCCATGAGGAGGGTTTTCCACTTTTATGTCAGATACCAATCTTTCAAAGTGAGAGGTTTAAACGATCAAAAAAAAAATAAAATAAAAAACTTGTCTCCTAATTAAGACAGAAAACAGACAGAGATTTGATATAAATGTGCAAAATTACCATGTAGGCTACTGTAGTAATCCTGCATGGGACTCCTAAAAGTTGAGCAAATATTTAGCAGGGAAATGCAATTAAAATTCACAGAGAAAACAGGGCAAAAATATTTATAATAAAAATATTGTCTGCAAGGGCGTATGCAATGGTTCTCAAACAGGTCTGCAGTGCACTATAGGGGCCCTCAGGAAAGTAAGTTAATGCAGTAAACGCTCAGTAACTGCTAAACCTTAACCCTGGGCATTAATAAGTAAATAAGATAACAAGGAACAAGTAAATAAGTAAATGCTAAGTAAGTAAGATCTAACTTAACTAAAATGCTTTAAAAAATAATTACCACATGCAAAATTCCAAATATTTCTTATTTTTACTTTTAAGCTTAAATACAAATGTACGGATAAGAACAAATTAAAATGATTTGTTCAGTAAATGAAGATACGTCCTTTTGAACTTTGGTATGTTTCTAAATCACATATTCCATGTTGTTTGAGGCTTCAGCATGACTTACAGACATGAGGGACGATAGCAGAAGATGATAATGATGACGACGATGTCTAAACATGGAGGGATGTTTCACACACACACACACACAGCAGGGTCAAACACTCACAGCCCAGTCACCTCTGAGTCCACACACACTTGACGTCAACACTACAGCTTGTTCTGATTTCAAATCCAGCATTAATTAGGGCCTGTTCATTACATAAGACTGATCTCAACCTCACTCCACTGTTGGAGAAAAGTGTATCAGCTTGAGAGGAACCTAATATAAAAACATAAAAGGACTGTTTTGTTGGAAAGGAGTTGGTACTGACAATACTTTTTATATTAATACTCCTAGTTGTGTTGTTTGATAACCGATTGCTATTACTATTGCTCATTGTTTGTTTGTTGAGGAGAGGTGACATTACTCTTCCAAGTTTTCAGAATCATACTTCCATTCAAAAGTTTGGTATCTGTAAGATTTTTTTAAATGTTTCAGAAAGAAGTCTGTTCTGCTCACCAAGGCTGCATGTATTTGTTTAAAAATGCAGTAAAAACAGTAATATTGGGAAAATGATTACAATTTAAAATTGTTTTCTATTTTGGTTTTGAAATGTATTCCTGTGAAGCAAAGCTGAATTTTCAGCATGATTACTCCAGTCTTCAGTGTCACTTGATCCTTCAGAAATCATTCTAATATGTTGATGTGCTGTTCAAGAAACATTTCTTACTATTAAATGTTGAAAACAGCTGTGCTGCTTAATATTTTTGTGGAAACAGATACTTTTTTCAAGATTATTTGATAAATAGAAAAGTTAAAAGAACAACCGAAATCTACAACTTAATGTCTTTACTGGAACTTTTAATCAATTTAATGCATCCTTGATGAATAAGTGTTCATTTCTTTAAATCTTACTAACCCCAAACTTTTAAACATTAAACAATTTGTATACAATTTTTTACCTGTCATACAATAACAATTGCATATAGCATAATGCTAAAAACCAATCAGAAACACCATAACGCCCACATAGCAACACCCTGGTAACCACCCACATTACCATCATTAAAATCACTTAAACAGCTTTCTTGTGGCTTATTGCTTTAATGGCCACTAAAGTCCCAAAAGAGACTGGTTCATAATGATCGTTTTCTTCACTTTAATTTGGCATTCATCCCTTTCCATTGATGCTTATAACATGAAATGGTCTAGATACAGAATGCATTAAATCAAATGTGAGAATGTTAGCAAAAAATAGCAAAAATGAAACAAAGTCTAAAAAACAAAAAAAACTCTTGGGCACTTTGCATTCCCCCTTCCGATCTTGCAAGTTTAACATTTTGGGTCAAGCTGGATGATCAATCACTGCAACAGGCAGAGCTCATTATGATCCACCATCACTATATCTCAGCAAAGAAAACCTCTCCTCTCAAGTTAAACACCTCAGACATTACTGCCCTGAGCAGCACTAATAACAATGCAGATTAGTGGAGAAACACCCTGGTCAGCTCACCTTTCAGAGTAAAACGATATTCTTTTACACTCCAGGAGCGCCGTACAGCAGCTGCAAGCTAATCCTACAGTAAAAGGCCTGAGGAGCATTGTGTCAGCAGTGAACATCTCTGGCCACATCTAAATCACTGAAGAGAGACAAAACAATTGAGCATTCAGATGGAGAGGGGGCGAGAAATCCTAGACACGGCTCAGACAGGTGTGAAGTAACCCTAGATTGAGAATAACCTGAAAAGTATAAAAAAAAAAAAAACGGAGCGGTAAAAAAAAAAAGAATGCAGTAAGATATGAAGAAAGTTCAAAGCGCACCTGCAAGCACGTGCGTGACAGATGTGATCAATTATAAGACATCAAAGAGAGTACAGATGCCTGCGAGAGATGCTGTCAGACCGCAGAAGTGCTTCTTTTAGAGGTGCTAAAAATGATGTTCAATTCATTAAACCTTATATTAAACATGTTCAAGGCATTGGTGATGCACTTCAAGCTTGAAAGCAAACGTCAGCATTGGCTTTCAATTAAGAAAACAGAAAAACAGAACCACTTTAATTATCAACATACATCCAAACATTCTGCACACGCTTATTTGTAGGAGAAAGCTATTATAACGAGCAGTTAGTAATGTTAACTTCTTATTGCAATCTTTCTGGTAAAAATTGATATTGTCAATATCAATATCCAGATTTTAGGTCCAGATTTGCTGCGCTTGTTTGAAGGGCTGTACAATTTGGCCAAAAATGTTATAATTACATCAATATGACGGTAAAATATGAATTGTACTGTCATTTTTGTATTTTTTTTTACAGTGCAACTATACAATAATTGAATCAAATTAACTCTTTTTCAAACCATAAAGCTTTTCTTTTGTTGGCAAGTCAGCATTTTATAAGCGCTTCTCATTCAAAGTTTGGGAAGATGGTTGGTGCATGGTGTGTTTCCAAATACACGTTATAAGTGTCCCAAACTTACAAGTTCATGTGGATCAGATGAGCAGATTTAGAGATACTGAAATCATCGGATCATCAGCTGCTCGTGTGTAAAGGAATGCAGTGCTGCACTTCACGCGGAAACATACAGTGCCTATATATTAATTTATTTAATTAAATCAAAGCTATTGCAATTTGATATTGATCGCAATAAGCCAAATCACATCGTAGTTTTATTCTAGTTTTATTGCAAGGCAACTTGCAACAGAATGAATTCAATCTATAAACCTAATGCAACCATTCACTTTCTTTTCAGGTAATAATAAATGAGTTTAAAGAAGTTTTTTTAATTCAAAGACAAAAAAAAATGCTCAAAGTCGTGGGCCACAAGTTTGAGGTTTTATGAATCAAGTCAATATAAATCCTCCAGGAGAGCATGTTTATGCGCATCTACGGGGCTACAGCATCAAAGCTTTGGTAAACAAACGATTAAAAATGATTCAGAATCAAACAGGTTGAATAAATAACCACAGTGATGCCTTCGTAAGCTCTCAGTCATAAGCAACACAAATAAGATCCACTATTCCAGTCCTTCATTCATCCACCCAATCACATCGCTCCTTCCCTCCCTCCATTCCTCTCATTGGCTGCATTCGCATCCAGTCATTGGGCGGATTAAACGCAGTGGTGCAGTTTTCTGTTACCCTAAACTGTACAAAAATAGACGCCTAGTGCTGCTTTATCTAATTTTGAAAACAAACAAAAAAACAAAATGAATAATAATACAACAGTCTTTCAATTGATTCGCTAATATATACAGAAGTTTTTGATCTCTAACCAGAAGGCTGAGTGCTTTATCCTTGTGAATACAACATAAACAAATAACTTTAATATATCTTAAGCTCCGATGCTCAATCTAGATCTCTAAATACATATATATCTGTGCATATAGGTATACATATATATGTAAAGCACACAGCCTGCAGAATTAACTTGAATTTATTGACAGGCAAGATTCGCACGGACACTGCGAAACGTTTGTTGTTCTAGCACAGTGTAGTTAAATCAAACGTCTTTTCTTGTGGCAGGAGTCGCACGTTAGTCAACTGTTTTGCCTCCACTTAAAAACAAAACAAAAAATATGCAAACCGCAACATTAAAAGGTATGAAAAAAGTAAGTCACTAAACGAAAAGACGGAAAAGGCAACCGTAAAAAGTCACAGATGAATTCAAAGCACAGAAAAAATAAAGCTGAGATCAGTTGAGATGGTTGGGGGTGATTAAAGGCGCCGAACGATCGTTGGTAAGTGTCCGACGTAGTTTGACTCTCCGGATCATACTCAACATGTCACCTCCGCTGCCTGGATCAGGAACGCCGTCGACATGATCCACGCCAGGCTGGGCGGAATTGATCTGCACGCTTTCAGTGGGCATGCTAGAATTGTGAGCTGCCATGTTTTGAATCTGCTGCTGATTTTGATGTTTCTGCTGGAGCTCTTTTTGATGTATCTGTTGATATTGCGGCTCCTGCGGTTGGTTATATTGCTGTTGGTGATTGTACTGTTGTTGATTATATTGTTGTTGCAGCTGTTGTTGTTGATGATGATGATATCGCCTCTGCTGCTGTTGGTGCAGTGCATACTGCTGTTGCTTGCTCAGTTGATACAGCAGCTCTGTGCCGCCCACTGGTGGCTGCCCAGGAAACATGGAATAGTATGGAGGCGGCCCTGCACTCAGACTCTGAGTGGACGTACAGAGACTATGTCTGGTGTGAACCAGATCAGAGCCAGGAACCCTGTTACTCTGCGTTCCTCCAGGAGGGCACATGGTCTCCTCACTGCTCAGGCCGGCGGTAGAAACGGATGCCTTCAGCGGCACCTAAGAGCAGGATGAAATTGGCTTTCATGGTTAATTTGATAAGAACATCAATAGAACACACTACAGGGATGTATAAAAACATATGGCCTCTTTGAGCATGATGTTGTTAAAACAAAATTTAAAAAGCTAAGCAAATACATCCAAAATATTGTGAACAAATTCAAAAATTGTGCAATATCCAATTGGGATTTCTTTCATAACTTGAAACATAAAGGAATTTCCCTAAGAATCAAATAAAGATTCCCATTTAAATGTATACAGGATTTGATTCTTGTTTAATGTTAGAGTCCTAATGGATCAGAACCCTACTTGTATTTCATTATTTTAATACATACATATTTTTATACATTAATACTAATATACGGGATATATACTACCATTCAAAAGTTTGGGGTCAGCAAGATATAAAAAAAAAAAGTCTTGTGCTCACCAAGGCTGCATTGATTTGATAAAAAATACAGTAAAAACAGTAATATTGTGAAATATTTAAATTTAATTTTTTTCTATTTTAAAAATGTAATTGATTCCTCTGATGCAAAGCTGAATTTTCAGCATCATTACTCCAGTCTTCAGTGTCACATGATCCTTCAGAAATCATTCTAATATGCTGATTTGCTGCTCAAGAAACATTTCTGATTATTATCAATGTTGGAAACAGTTGCTTAATATCTTTGTGGAAACTTGGACATTTTTCAAGATTCTTTTGAATAGAAAGTTCTAAAGAACAGAATTTATTTGAAATAGAAATCTTTTGTAAAGTTATAAATGTCTTTAATGTTAACTTTGATCAATTTAATGTATCCTTGCTGAATAAAAGTAAGGGTTAGGATGACTGACCCAAAATTTTAAACAGTAGTGTGGGCTGTAAGCACATTAAAATCCTGAAAGAAATACATTTTTATGTCCTACAGGGGCATCCATCTTATTTGTAGTTGTAAAAGTTATTTTAGGAACAATGTGTTTGAAAATAATACTGTGCTGGAATTCTTTATGAAAATTCACAATCCTTCACGACCTGTTCCAAATTATGATAGATATTCCAGCAGGTCTCCTGAACACTGTTTAAGAATTTTCTGACTAGAGTTTGAGTAGATGAAGGACCTGTGGTGTGGAGATGGGGATAGGCACTCCTCCACTGATGGTCCCACGGCGGATGTTGGGCTTGCTGGAGGGTTTACGGCGGATGGTGGCCGTGTGGGGTCCTATAGGCTCCGGATCCATCAGCAGACTGACGGTAGATGCCGGCCTCTTGCTTTGAAACATTTTGCGGTAATTGAGGCTCAAGTCGCTGTTGCGAGGAATTGTGGAAGATTTATCAAATTCAGACTGGCTGTGGGCGTCCTCTCCTCCATGCAGGGAGATGTAGTCATAGTCTGAAAGAGAGAGAAACACAAAAAGAGGAGAGTCACACACGGTGTTAATGTTAAATGATAGCACCTCTATATTGTTTAAAAGAGAAAAATAATGAAATTCAAGCAGAAATTACATATGCAGGGAATGACAGTGGAAGAAAACACAACAGCTGTTCATCATGTCTCAAAATTTGATGTCAGGGTTTAACAATAAAGATGGCCCAACGTTGTGAGTGTTTCGGACAGGACAGTGCATGTGTTTTTATACCTCGCAAACTCAGCTTGGCTTGTGTGATGTTTTTAACACTGTTGAAAGGCAGCATTATCTAATTGTTTAAATTTTAATTATTTGTTTAAAGTTGTTTAAATGAAACCTACAAATGCATTTTATATATTTTTAATAGCGGGCATATATATATATATATAATAAAAATTAAAAATAAAAAACAAAATTATAAATAAGATATAACAATTTTTTTTCTTTTGGACTAAATGCAAATGCAATAAATGCAAACTGCAAAGGAAAATTATGCAAATTTGAGATGCATATACAATTTTTTTTAAATAACAAGTATACTGAAATTAAAGAAAACAAACCTAAAAATCGTATTATTGTCTTAGTCACATTATTAATTAATTTCACTAAATTGATTAAAAAAATGACTGCATGAAGAGAGCAGTACTGGATTACCTCCTAGAAAATGAATAAAACAGACAAACAAAAGCTCTGTTTGAGAGTGTCTTTCAGTTAAACTCAGGCAACATGAGAAGATGGACAACAGACTAACGAGATGCCACTAGTTATATCTCATGGTTAGGTTGCACACACTCAAATCTTACGCATACAGATAACACTCTTTCAACAAAGGCACGCCTGCGATATGACATGGATTCTCAAAAATAAAGACATTTAATGTTGTTTATTATTGGTATATGATCACAATGAGAATAATTAAGTCTATGCAATGACATTCAGAAACCTACCATATAGAGGAGGTTCTTTCTTTACCGCTGTAAAAGAACAATAAAGTACATTTAACATTTATACAAAGGCCCAGAAACATGCACTTTGGACAGCAATCCAAGCCTGTGATTCGTGCAAGCACATCAGACTTGGTCTAAAATTGGACCATAAAGCACATTTGATGCGCACACAAACCACAAATCAGATAACTGTGTTGAGGGTAAAAAAAGGGTAAAAATTGAGAAAAAGAAATCTAGACTGAGCACTGTTTATAATCTCTCCAAGTTGTGTGCAATGAAGATTTGAAAGGAAAATTATAGAAAATAATTAGAAAAAGCTCATGCATGTAAGTGTACATACACACATACTGACCATGCTGCGAGGGAATGGTGTCTTCTGAGCAGGATGGCGTTGTCGTCTGGGTGCTGTATCCGCTGGAGCAGTGCAGGGAATCTCGGCTGGTCCGAGGAGCTTCGGAATTAAGCCCGCCTCCAAGAGTAAGAGCCAGCTGCTCCCTGGCTGACTGTGGCTACAGACAGCAATGAGAGCCAATCAGAGATCGGAAAAAGTGTCAATCACAATGATTCCAGTAGAATCAAAAGGTGTAAAAAAAATCTATTTTTGCTTAGAAATCATTCCTGCATTTAAATGAGCGTGTACCTTGCCTGAGGTGGAGAGTGTCCTGGCTCTCTCCTCATGCCTGCTGTAAACTTTGTGCAGTGGGGGCATGGAGGTCCCGTTCTCTGTGCCTGGAGAGTTCTGACCTTTTTCCTACACAAAAATATACTCGGTTACTCCATCTCAACTTAGTAAGTAACAAAAACAAAACACTACGACAAACTGTAGTTACAAGGTAATAAGGATTTAAAGCCAACATGAAATGGTGTTCACAAACCATTTTATCATGATGTGACATAATTAAGCAATATATTAAAATATAGGGCGGGACTTAATTTGATCCAACAGGAAATTTGTGGATCATGAAAATGGGCGTTCCAGATCTGAATGAGAGTTTGCAGAGTACTGTGGAGGTTTTTTAACCAGGACATGGAGCTTGAAGGTCAAGTTCACCCACGCAATGGTAACTGGTTCTTTTTAATCATTTTTGCAATTACGTTCTTTTATTTACCTTTATTTGCTACAATTGCAGAATGCTTTATTCTAACAATGTTAACTCTTTTTCCACCACTGACACATTTTGCATAATTTTTGACAAGCTTTATTGATGCAAGCTTTGGATTGTTTTTTTTTCATTATACAACTGATGTTGCTATATGGAAGTAAAAAAATAAAATAAAATGAAAATATAAAAGTTTTCTGCTTGAAAAAAATAATTTTCTGAGATTTTTGTTTGAATTTTTTTATGATGTTGACAGAATGAATCAATTGGAATATTTTTTCTGTTGCTGAAAAATGAATATGTAAAAATAAAAATAAAAATAAACAGAAACCTCTGTTTACATATTCATACAACAGAATATTGTGGGGGCAATTTATGAAGATTTGTGAATATGATAAAAAATATCTGCGGTGGATGGCAACTTAAAAAGAATACTCTGGCAGGGAAGGAGTTAAACATTTCTACTTAAAATATTTGATATTTTATACAGGCTGCATTACCTACAAAAGTAGCAAAAAATGAACCCTAAATCCTAAATTCTGCCATTGGTTAACATTAAACCATCAGGAGGAAAGGAAAAATAATGAAGGATTGTGAACATCTGCACACAAGACGACCAGAAATGTATATAAACAGTCAGTTTTGATTTCATGTGGACTTTAACGACAGTTTGGTAAGTGTAGAAAAGTTCAGATGGGCCTGTCAGAGCATGCAGGTTTTTAGTTGTAGATATGCAAACTGGTTAGTGTGTTTGTTTTAAGACATGGGACTGATATTATATCCAAAAACAGACACTAAAAGCAGAAAATTATTTAAAATAGCTTCTTTCTCCCCGTGTACAGCTATCAGAAGGCGTCCCTCTCAATGGCCTGCAGAGGGCGCTGTCTACCTTCACATAGACACAACCTCTACACATGCACGATGAAAACCACAGAAAAACACAGAAGAAAACCATCAGAGGTAAGTGTCCAGGAGTACATGCAACAGTAATGAATCCATCCACAGTCACACACAGCACTACACTGAGTCTATGCTCACAGTGCTCCTGTGCCGAAGGTGTTGGTGGCCCGTGCGATAGATTGTGGGAGAATTCCCCTCACTGAGAGAGCGAGTGCCTTCCTCCCCTCCAACCAGGAGGAGAGGACTGCATGAGCGCTGGGAGATGGAGGTGAGGGGCAGAGAGGAGTGGAACAAGAGAAAGATGAGATTAGATGAATCCAAGCCTCCGTCAAAATACAAACCCCCTTAGACCCCTAAACAAATTTCCTGGTTGAAAGTAACTGCTTTTGGGTATTCTATTCAGAAAATAGTAAAATGCCACTTGTTGATCCATCTTTTAAATTACAAGTGTCACATAATATAGCTACTAATGGTCAAATATAAGGCAAGACCCTAAAGGCAAAGCCACTGCTTTTTCATGCATGGCTGAAGCCAGAAATCACTTTAGCAGTACATACACCCAACTTAAAAGTGCTAAAAATAAATATCCAAAATCTCCCCTGTAAAACCTTTAATATGTCAACAAAATTAAACAAGAATTTTGGACCTGGCTTTATCCAATGTTCAGATTTCAAATGCATGCAAATGAATGCATTTAATTATATTTGCTTAATTTACTTATTTAAACAACATTTCAGAAAACTTGCAATACAACGTTTAATGTCTTAATGTACTGTGATTAATGACCTGGGAATGTATGGTGATATCTATTAAATAAAAATGTCACCCTATTCCCCTGTGGTATTTTGCCATAATATTTCTTTTTGTCTCCACATTATGGTTAACTTGGCTAATACATTGGACTGATAAACTAGCATACTACACATAATCATAGCAAACTGTATTATAATTTAGTGTTCTCATAGTATTAACCTATGCTACTTTTTTGTAAAACACTGAACTGTGTAATAAAACTGTATAATTGTGTCATTTATCATCATGCATTTTATGTGTTACTATTTTAAGCATCACAACAGTGAAATACTACCTTATTTGCAATACACTTACACTGTAATACCCAGACAAACTACATTAAATATTTGATATTATTTGCACTGAAGTACTGTCCAATTATGATTGTGTACTGATGATCAATCTGCTGATTTGATCTTGGGGTTCAAAAAGGTTGTATTTTGAGGAGGGTTGGATTAGGCACCACAGCAAAATGCAGGCTTTGATGGTGCTTGCAGCCGGATGCGCTTCTTTGGGCTGAATGAGGCTGCATGTGTGTTCTGGGTGAAAAATTATTCAAACTATTTGGGTTTCTTAGGGTTAATATACCAACTGAACTGGGTACCTTTTGGACCCATTGTTTTGTGTTGTGGCGCGTGTATCCATGATACCTGTGTTGTGTCTGGTGCTCGCAGATGAAGCCCATCCACTGCACTGGAGATGGAGTCCAGAGATGGGACATGACGCACAGAGGTGTAGTTACTAAGAGAGAGAGTTTATACTGATTATTTACAATAACACGCAATTGTTTGTCACCTGCGCTCCTCTTTTTCCAAACATTTTCAAAGAAAAATAATATTATATATAAGGCAATGTGCAGTTAGCCGATCACTGTTACATATATCACTGTTAATTATATCTTACTGTAGAAAGCTTAAAGGTTACCACTAAGAAAGACAGTCAATACAATGTTAAAAAAATCAATAAAATTGGCCTAGCAGCAAAAAAACACTACAATATAAATATAATAATTATCAATTTGCAAGTTAGCTAACAGTTCTTGCAACACACATTTCTTCCCGACACTGAACTCACCTGCTGATGCTGCTCTTGCGTGATAACGTGTTGCTAGGAGACGCGGGTGGAGTCTGATATGAGTAGCTGTAGTCTGAGCCTTTCAGATCAAGAATAACCTGCATAAACAAAACCAGACCAGGAAGTCAGAGTGCAAGAACATATACAGCTCTACAGATCAAAACAGACATAATGTGCCTGATTAGAATCCATGCAGCACCTGTTCACTAGCAGGAGGCAGTGTGTTGGGATCAGCCGTCAGATTGCCGAGATCTTCTAGAATTGTCTGTAAGTGGGTGACTTCACCAAGCATGCTTATCTCTTCGTCCTGACATTACAAATAAAAAAAATCAACGGTGTGATAATATTTAAGCAGAATAAAATAAAAATATATAACAGCACATTTTCATGGCAATCAAGTACTTTTTTCCCCCAAATTCTCATAATTCTAATGCATTCTGATGTAATAATGACAATCTTCCTGTTTAATGAAAAACAGCATCAATTAAAGGCATTAAACCAAATACTCTCACAACATTCAGGTATTTTACAGTTCAAAATGTTCAAATATTATGGAAATGATAATGTAATGTAAAATGCTGACAAAATGTTGTGGTCTTAAGCCAGGCATTTTCTTTTTGCAAAATATAGTGCCTTATCAGAGTCTGCTCAGACACTCACCAGGAAAGGTTTGAGCATTGTGACGAATGAGCAGAATCTTCCTCTTTCCTCGATAAGTGCTCGACACACGGCTCTCTTCTCAGTCTCCTCTAAAACTGCGTAGCGTGTGTTGACGTCCTGAAGAGCGCTGTCCAGCTGCATCCGCACCTCACCTTTACCTGTGCAAACACAATGACATTTCATAAACCACTGACAGGATCAAAAAGACTTTGACTTTGTACTAAAAGTACTCAAATTAATAAAGCAAAAAAAAGCTAGACAGAAATATATACATATAAATAACAACAACTTTGTAATAATTGCAAAAACATGTAAAATTACTAATACTAAAATGAAATATAAAAATAAAAACTAATTCAATATACTGATAAATGTTATAATAGTAGATAAATAGTACAATACTATATAAATAATACTAAAACAACAGCTCTTTGTTGCTGTTATTTGAAGCAAGGAATAACTTTGCCTTGCAGTTTGATGCTAAAACTCATGTTGTTTGCAACCACTAGGAGGCAGTACAGTTTCTATAAACACTTAAGACACCATTGATATTTGCTGCAATGCTAATAAGCTGTTCAAAGAGCCTAGCTGTGCAGATTTCCTTGGTCATTCGTGACCAGGCGTGACGATGGATCTGGGGTCTCTGGTAATGGCACACATGTGGACTGTATGGTGTGCATGTGTTGCATTTAAAGCCCAGCTGCCACTGAGACCCCCTCACATTCCATAGTAGCTACTAGTAATACTACTACATAGCAGTGATCGACCAATACGGCTGTTTTTAATGACTGACATCGATATCTAGATTCCATGGTGCTAGGCAGACAATATAATACAGCTTAATGATAGAAAATAAGATATAAGATATAAGATAACTGATTTCACTCAAACACTCTAAAATTCACTGAAAAACATGAATTGGCAAACATATTGATACAAGTTAACAAGAAAAACAAAAAAGATGCAAAGTATTTACCATAAGAGCATAACTGAGTGATTTTTAATATGATATGATGACTGTTTCGGACTCCTGATGCTTTAACTGTACTGATGAAGTGCAATGGGAGAAATGTGAGGTTAATCACATTTAGAGGTTTGTTTACCTCATGCCAGCACACACCACGTGAGGAGCTTTGAACACATGACCTGGCCTTTTCCTCTGTTTTTCATCTCTCAGCAGATGCATCATCCCCAACACATCTCATCTAAATGAATAGTTTCTTTGCTTTTGCAATCACATTACTGCATTTTTCGACTGTGTATGCGTGAGTGCATCAGGACCAGAAATTAACTTTTCCATTAAGGGAATTCATTTCACATTTCACTTTAATGGTGGCAGCCGTCTATCTTAATTGTCCAGGGACATTTTTTGCCCCCTTCTCTTGAATTTGGGGAGCATTTCTGTTCATTTGGTGGCATTTTTGCCCTAAGCCCTTGTTAACTTCCAACCCTGGTGTGCATGATAGGGATGAGCAATACCTTTAATATTTAATCCTAATTTTATATTGTCAGCAAACACATCACATATATATCATGCAAATGCACAAAAGGTTCTTTATAATGGAAAAAAAAGGTTCCATTAATTGTTAAATTGTTCTTTACACTAAGAAAAACATGGTTCTTTTAAGAACCGTTTACTGAAAGGTTCTTTGGGGAACCAAAAATGGGTCTTTAAGGCATCGCTGCAAAAACCACCTTTTAGAGTCTTTTGTGTATGTTTGTGGACGATTCGTATCAACATTCCACCAACAGGAGAGCATTCTGACAGCTGTGTGCAGACGCATACATCACTGATCTCATCATCCCCATTGCTAACAATAACCTCAGGTGTCCTTTGTGACATCTGATCTTCTGCACTCCAAGCTGGCATGCAAGACAGATGTATGCTTTCTTTCACAAGCACTACAAGTTTCTTTAGACATGTTTATAATGATGTTCTCTCATTTTAAAGACTACAAATGATATGCTGGCATATTGAGATCACATGACCTGGTGAATACTATTTAATCTCAGTGACCCCATAATTAGACACTTTTAAGTTGTAAAAAAGAAAAAAAATATCACTGGTGACAAATACGCCTGAGAATGGGACATTTTTACAATAAAAATTAACATTTTATTTTAAGGAAATAGAACCCTCACAAAAAGGCTCAATAGCATTTAGAGAACACCTCTTGAGTCTAGATGACATTTTAATTGAATAACAGAATCAGATCCACAAGCGCCACAGCACAGTAAATCTAAACGACCTCTGCAAATCCGTTTAAGTGCTGCGTATGCATTTTTGGGATTTAAGCAATCCTCATCAGTGTTGCGGAACTCAGTTAAGTCCTTTGACCTTCCAGGCAGAGATGTGATCCCCGGTGCTTGAGTGCATTGACCTTGTGCTGGATTGTGTGACCGTATGTGTGTTTAGATGCTCTTAGACCATTACACCTTCAAACACAGCCTGAAGTGAAGGCTAAAAGGAACCTGGTTGGGTAGGACAGCTTAGGGCTGGGGTCATCTTCAGTTTAAAGGGCAAAGGTCAGTAGGTCTGTTGATAAATGCCACGGCCTGTCTGCAAGACAAATGGCTTAGGAAACATGCAGCTATATCTGAAATATGTTACAGGAGCCGGTTTCTTGTTAATAGAATACAGCCCAACACAGAAATGTGAAAGAGTGATAATCTAAAAAACTATCCTCATAGCAACCCCTTTAGAACACCTTAACATCACCATAGAAACAGCACAGCAACGTCCTAGCAACCACTAAGAAGACTTCAGTCCATCAAAAACATTCAGCAGGTGTTACACCATGACCATAATTGAGTTGCTTTGAGTCTGCTACTAGGACACCGCCTTAGCAACTGCATAGCAACCACCTAAAACACACTAGCATCATGAAGGCGAGTTTTGTACTGGCAAGCACCACTCAAACCTTTTAATGAAAAAAAAATTAAAAAAAAAGAAGAAGAATTATAAATGAATTATTTATTAATAATATACAATAAAAATATTATTTCATAAATTATTTTATTTTTAAAAAATGCTAATTATTGATCCATGTACTTTTGCGTACATTCATTTTTTATTTTTTAACCATGACGAAAAAAATGAAATGAAAAAAGAACGGTTGTTGTATATGCTATGTTGAAAACCAAAATTGAAAGTAGAACCATACCCACAAAATGTTGCGAGAAAAAGTAAAATATTGACTTCTTTTCAGATTTTTGTTGTTGACTTTTTGCACCCTTAATAAACATTTTCAAAATGCACAAATTAATATTGAAAAAAAAAACGTTGATTTTAAAAGTTCTGTTAGGCTAAATTAGGAGTAATGCTTATCCCACATGCTCGATTGAGAGCCGAATGCATGACTTTAAAGTATGATTTTAAAACGTTTGAGTTTCGTTTGAGGGTGCTTGGCATCTCTAGCACCCCCGTAGACCGTGCCTGGATACAAACAGCTGATTAAATGCAAAGAATTAAATATTTTAACCGTGAAAAATTATCAAGATATTTTGCGAAACTAGCTATATGATCATAAAAATTTCAATGCCTTTCAATATTGACGCCAGATATTTTTTATAAAGCAATGGGTTACTGGTAGCCACATCAGTAGCACTAGAGGGCACTTTTAGCATGTGTATAGAAATGCTAAAACACTAGAAATTAAATTTAGCATTTATATACATAAAAAAACAAGCTGTATAACAATTTTATGATTTTTCACGAAATAAGAATTTTGTGTCTGCTTATTCTATTAATGAGTGTCAGAACCATTAAAGAAGAAACCACATTTTCCATGTTTCATTTCTAGGTTAAAAAAGGACAAATTAATGGATGCAAAAGTATACGGACCATTATCAATAATCTATGGGAAATTATGCATTTTATATAAAGCAGAACCAAATGGAAAGCCCCATGCACATTTTAGAAAAGTAACACAGCTCTAGTGTTTGGTTCATTTGAGCTATTTAAACACAAAAAAACAAACCTCATTTAAAAACAGAAAAGGGAGGTGATGGGAAAATAACCCAGAGCCATTCGGACAAAGGTGTGTGCGCCACAGAGACATTCCCTCAGGTCTAGAAGTCCCGTGCGGTTGGAAGCTATGATGTCATGAGCAGACACCTTCTCTCCATAAACACATGCAGGAGGCAGGTGTGCAGGTTTTCTGGGAGAAGTAGGGCAAAGGAACCTTACTGATGATGATGGTTAGCCTCCACCCAGTAGGTGGTACTACACTGGATCTGTGACTAAGGGCCCTCAAGGATTTCATTTTTAAACAACGAGTGCACAGCAACATGTGAATATACCTGGGCTGCATATCATTTAGCATACTAGGTCTAAATAACATGCGAATAAAATGAGGAAATCGATTATCAATGCATTAAATCTGAGATGAAATATAAACAAATTCTAAAATTAAACCATTTCATTCATATTTAAAAATGTAGTTAATTCAGACACCAAAGAAAAAGCAGAATGTCCAGAGCTCTGGTTCTTCATACCATCTCAAACACGGCAGCAACAGCATTGGAATACTAATGTGCATGAGTTTGAATAATTCAGATCCAATGCTCTTTTTCTTCACAATCCCCACACAGACGGTTCTAAGACTTCTGAGAGGTCTGCCCCCTAGACCTCGGAGTAACACAAATGTAAGATATAAAGATGAATGTGCATTCCGAGACGCATCATAGGTCTAGATGCCATATTTATTTTAATTTTCTCACCACCTGTGAGAGTTATGGCAGTAACTCAAACAGCGCTAGGATGGGGTTATGGGTGTGCGCTAGCCTCTGAATCAACATGCTAACATTTCATTCAGCCCCTATCTTATGATTCAGACTGTGTCAGGACAAGGCCAGCTGCAGATGACTAACATCACAGTAAAGGACTCTCCTAGTAGGAGGTACTACAGATAAAAGTAATGATTGTTCATGATATTTTTCATGAAATTACCCCCTTTGCATGTGGTAAAAATTCCAAGTAAAAATGATCATTGGTGAGTATATGAAACTAGGCTACTAGCTAATTGGAAATGCAAAATAATACATGGTAGAAAATGCAAATATAGAACAACACTGATCGAATCAAACCACGGAGATACAAACAGTCTGCCAGAGAATTACTAATGAATTTGAACAAAATCTCTGATGTAAATATCCCCAAAGAAATGTGTTCTGCCTTATTATACAGATTTCCCTTTGGTTCAGTTTTCAGAATCAGTAAGTGGCTATTAAACCAAAAGACACACCGCATCAAAGGTCATATTACTCCTTAAATACAAGACAAGACAGATCATGCAGCAGCAGCAGAAGGACCCTTCCGTATGAAAGGGAGTATATGACCACAGGGTGTTTTCCCAATGGTGGGAAAGATGACATGCCAATGGAAGGAAGGATGGGGGATCTCTTTCCTCTTTGAGAGTTTGTGTGGCCTTGAGATATGAGCTATTCTGGTGACAATGCTCTATTAAAAACTGCTCATTTCCTCAAATGCTAGTTTTTCCCCCTATAAAAAAAAACAATTAAAAAAATAAATAAACCCCTCCATACAGTCCCTCCAGTGTCACATGATCCTTCAGAAATAATTCTATGTTGATGTGATGCCCAAAATCAATTTCTTAATATTATCAATGTCAAAAATAGATATTTTTGTGGAAACCGTGATATATATTTTTTTCAGGATTCTTTGAACAGAGTTTAAAAACAACAGATTTAATTTGAAATATCAATCTTTTGTGACAATGTAAAGTCTTTGCTGTCACTTTTGATCAATTTAATCCATCCTTACTGAATAAAAGTCTTTATTTCTTAAATCTTATATATTAGGAAGGGGGTCCTCGGAAAGGAGATTATCATACTTGAGGGTCCTTGGCACCAGAAAGCTTACAAATCATAAAATGGAGTTCGATCAGGGGGTTTTATGTATGAGCACACAGAAAACGCAAAAGTCATTTTTATAATATCCTCTGGAAATGTTGAGTAAGCGTTTGCATGAGGGTGGATGCAAAATATAAAGCAGCGGGAGTGTTGACCCCTCAAACAGACCAGAGCAGAAGTGAACCATAATGACAGAACACATCTGCATATGCATTTATCTCTCTCGCCGCCTCTATTCCATGTATTCAATTCATCACGGCTCCATTTATCCCTCACATCTCTTCCACCATCTTAAACTCGTTTCATGCCACATCCCAACACCCTCGAAATTATGCCAACAGTATTCAAATCTCATTTAAAGTCTGTTAACCATTTAATACAAGAAGCTTAATGTCACGTCTAAACCATTTCCAACTAAAATCAAAAGAAAGTATTTATATTTTGTAAAAAAAAAAAGAAAATAAATATTTATGCACTATTGTTTGCATTGCAATATTATTCTCATGAGAATTATACATGCTCCCACCTCCCCAAATTCCCATTACCGTAACACGCTTTACTTTGTTTTTATTGTTAATTAAAACCAAACCTATTAAAAATAATTCTCATTAATTAAAATAAAGCTGAAATTAAAAAAACATATTCGATTAAAAACCTAGACAGAAATTAGAATGAAAAAAAAACAAGAGTAGGTACTAAATTACTAACTAAAACTAACTAAACTAAAACAGAAATAAATAAATTCAAGTTAAATTTAAATATTAAGAAAAAAACTGAAACACACATTAATTTGTTAAAACTAAAAATTATCAAAAATGAAAAAGTTGATTCAAAATATTAATAAATACTATAATACTTTACAAGTGATCTAAAAATAACTTCAGTCTTTTGATTCTTTTTTGCAATACAAATTTTTTTAAACAATATAAAGTCTGTGCAAAGTCAATACTGCCATGCTGTATGAATACAATTAAAAAATTTTTTACAGTAATGCATTACAATAATGAGAATTTGGGGATGAATGTGCTTAAAGGCAGAGTAAGTGATTTCTGGTAGCCAATGTTGATATTTGAAATCACCAAAACAAACACGCCCCTACCCCAAAAGGGTCTTGCCTCTATTCTGATAGCTCCGCCCCACATATACGTACGCAACCCAGGCAACGATTAGTTCTGTGAAACAAAGCAAAACCAATGTTACACCGTGTCTACGAATGTGAGCGGTGCGGCGCAACAAATCCCCGACAGAAAACTGCTGCCGGGTTCTATTTATGACGTGCTGACACAAATTTCAAATGGTTTTCAACGGTCGTTTGATCGCGTCCAGTGTAGGCAGACTTTAGCTGTTGTAGACACGGTGTTACTCACCTATTGAGAAGAAACAAAGCAACCTCGGCGTCCGATCGCAGCCCTCCGCTCCTTGAGTTCTCTCCAGCGCTGGAAAGCTGATCCGATATTTACACGGGTCCTACTTCTTGCCTTATCGTTCCGCAGACGTTTTCCTCTTTTGTTTTTTATCCGCCATCTCTATCTTTCTGTCGCTGGCTCGGCTAATGTCCGTCCCATGCACTGAACGCGCTCTCCTCCACATCACGAGTAGACACGCCCCTTATTGCTGATTGGCTACAAGTTTGTTTTGTGATTCGGCCCAAATCAGTTTTCTAAAGTGTTTTTTGAAAAATCACTCACTCTGCCTTTAACTTATAAAAATAACATCACAATGGATCTTAGTTCTACAAACAAGCTTTATCGTCTTTATGCAAATAATAATTAATAATTTGGGGGGTGAAATATGACCTAGACATGTTCTTTATAGGTGTTGTGAGATTCTCCCAAAAAGTGTAGTAGGTTCTGTTGGTGAAACTACTGCCTCATCATTCAGTTAGATTTTGGCTAGATGTAGTTTTTTGTCAAGCTGTAAAAATAAACACTGAAGGACTATTTCAAATGAACATTCAGTTAACAGCGCCTTATGACCAGAGGCAAGATGGCCAAGGTTGATGCCATGACAACACAGGGTGTGGTATTATGACAACACGGGGTGCGGCGCCAACAGAAGTCATGGGTATGTCCTATTGTGTTTAGACAAAGAGATCTGAGGCTGTAATTTGAGAAAGAGTGTGCGAGTGTGTAACAAGACAACAGGACTTCACGTTTCAACTCATAGAACATAATTAAAACACTATTTACCCAAGATGTTCACCCTTTCATTCAAAGATGTCATATCTAAGCATCAAGATCTTACCTTTTTTAACTTTCTTCTGCAGTTTAATCGTATCTGAAGATTTCTTCTTGATCTCTGCACGTGCTTTCTTATATTCTAAAAAACAACAAAGGCAGGGAAAGAACAACATTAGCCTCTTCAGTGGAAGCAAAAGCTAAATATTAATAAGTTCAGTGATTCAAATCCCTAAGCTTAAATATGAGCAACAATAATTATGTTGCCTGCCTTAGCAAGCACTGCTAATAAATGATTCACAATGATGTCAAATGAAACGACCCCTTAGCAACCTGGGGTTGCTAAGGGGTCGTGTTGGACAGACGTGTTGGAGATAGCATGGGTGTAGCCGTGCGTTCACTGGCGAACTGCAAGCTAACTGATTGAATGCCTAATCTTTTATATGACATAATGGATTGTTCTTATGAATAAATTATCCATTGTGAGCTGTAATATAACTGTCTGAGGGACTCCCACAGAGTTAAGAGTCATTTAATAAGTAACAGTGTGCAGCTAAGAGGACAGGTTTTCCGACAGTGATATTCTTAAAGGGGGTGGTGATATACTTTTTTGTTTTTGCACTGAGGTCAACGAGTTTTCTGTGCCTATAACAATCATAACTTAGTTTTTAATGGGCATTTTTCCTCTTAAGATTTCTATGAAAACGGTTTCATAGTATAATCAACTCTTATCTCAAAGGATAAAGAAATACTAGATTCCATTACCATTTTAATTAACAATTTAATTGTTTGTGTACATTATTAATATATAAAGTCTGAACATGCTGTATGGAACAGCCTGGATATTCTTCTAGGTATTGTTTTTATTCTGCTTTAACTTGTTTTATGAATTTTTCATTTTCAGGTTAACTCTACCTTTAAATTCAACCCACTTAGCTTGAAAAACCTCCATTAAAGGATTAAAACGATACTTTGCCTCTTTCTGTACAGGAGCTTTTTCAACACAAAGATTAAATACTAAACCTGTTGAATTCTGATTATATCACATAGGGAAGGAGGCCGATACCTTTGGCGTGGTCTTTATCCAGCTGACTGGCAACCTTCTTCCACTCTTCAATTTTCAGTTCCAGAGGAGTGATCAAGTTATCCATGAGAGCCCTGCACACACACACACACACACACTCCATACAGTTAATGCATTGTATAATACATAATCTTTATTACCAATTCAACTAATGAGCTTATAAATAACAAAAGAGAATTAAATAGTCATACGTGGTGAATAGTTTGAGCTTGTTCTCAATGCTTCTGTGTCTCATACACATCCTGGTCAAAGCCGATCCGATCTCTTTCGTCGCTCCTGGAGGGAAAAAAAAGAGAAAGGAAATTAATATCAGTGTCCTTAATCTCACAATCTTCCATTCTAAGCTCCATCAGAAGCTGTGAAATGCCAAGAGGAAAAACATGTTGCTTAAGAGTCCTGAAAGAACAGTTTCATCACATTGTTCTCTTCTCTCTTCTCCTCACTCCTTTCTTTCCCCCTCTTTCTCTTTAATAAGTGGCTGAATGGGCTTCATTTTGTAACATGTCTCAGACAGCTTTCAACATAACTCATCTTATCTTTCACAGGAATGTGTGCTTCAAATGAAACAACTCAGATTTCTCATTAACGAGGATTAAAGGAATCGCTTGCCCAAAACTTCTGACGCAGAAGAGGCGAGGACACGACACATACACACATCTTGACCAAGTAGCATTTCCTCTCTAAATACAAAAATGTATAGAATTATTTAAAGAATTGAAATAGGAGGAATAGAGCTAGGAACTGAAAAATGATGTTAAATTCTTCATTCTGTACGGTTAACAAATTATACATAATATAATAAACTACTGTTCAAAAGTTTGAGGTCAGTAAGATTTTTTGTAAGAAATTAAGATTTATTACACATTGATCAAATCTGACAGTAAAGATATTTATAATATTACAAAATAATTCTATTTCAAATAAATGCTTTTGAACTTTCTATTCATCAGAGAATCCTGAAGAAAAAAAAAGTATCATGTTTTTAAAAACCAAATCAGTATATTAGAATCTCTGAAGGATCATGTGACACTGAAGACTGGAGAAATTATTCTGGAAAAAAAAAAAAGTTTTAAACAGGTCAATTACTTAGCTTCTGCATAATCACACTAATGCATCACTGCAGCAACCCCTCCAGCGTGCAGGAAGAGCACTGCACATTCATCAAGAGACTGCTCACACAAACCCCTTTCCACAGCCCGGGTGCCAGAGAAACCAGCTCTTCCACAACCCCTCAAGCCTATGCACTCATTATCTTTGGTTAGTGTACAGCAAGCTTGGTGCACAAAAACTAGATCGCTCCTATTAGGATCAACAAAGCCATGTACTCTGGAAGCTTCTCACTTTTTATTTCCTTCATCTAGCTAAAATGACTTTATTTACCAATACAGTGTGTTTGAAATGATTGCTATGAATTGTATTCATTATAACACAATGAATCTTTTTCAAATTATTCTCCTTCTAGGTAAGGAAAACAGTGAAAAACAATCAATCTCTCACAATCAGGAAAGGCAGCCAATTTTTAGGGCCCTACACACACACAGCTGGATTTTGTTTGAATTTTTTCCAACCTAAAGTCAGCTGAGGAAAGGAAAACATAAAAAAGATGCTAGATTTTTGGGCTAGCACATGTACAGCTGAGAAGCACAGCCAAAAAAAAGAAGCTTTATTTAATCACTGATCTGAGACAATTCAACTATTCACTTGCTAACAGTTGAGGTAAACATCTGGGAAAGGCATAGACTAGACTGGCTTATTAACAGCCTCTATGATAAATTATTATCTAAATAATTCCGATTACAAAAGCTGATAAACTAGTTAGATTAGGCATTACATCGCAATGATACATCCATTCACCCACCCACCCATAAACACATAAAAGGTCACTTTATCTAATGAGTCGGAAACTCTGAAATAACAATTTCTATTAAAGAGGTCATATGAAGAGATTTCAAGTTTTCCTTTCTCTTTGGAGTGTTACAAACTGATTGTGCATATGACCCCTTTAACATAATCGACCCTGTGAGTCACAGTGAATGAAATATTAAAATTAATTGTGTTGAGACGGTGCAAACAGTCTCAATGCTGACATTAAACCGTCTAATCAGATACGCTTTATACTGGACTGCTGACTGTGTTTGAGCAGGATGTAGCTTATGCAATATGCAAATTATGCACAGAACGGTTTCTCTTATTGGCTGAAAAAACTGCCCTTCACCTCACTTTAACACTCGCTTCTCTTTCAGTTTCATTCTTCCATTATTTGAGTCCTCTTCAAAAAGTGAACCATGAAAGTGTAAAGTAACAATTCTAGTAATATATTTCAATTAAAAAAAAAAACTATTTCATTTAGTTATTCATTTTCATTTTAAATGTTTTAAAAATATTTCAATTTCTGTGTAGTTGCTCCTCATTCCAAATGTGAAGAAATGCTGTCAACTGAATTTTCCCACAAAACCTGATTTTCTGCACCCGTTATCATTGAGCTACATCTAATGTAAATATACATTATATAATATACATATTATATAACATACAATAAAACAAAAATAAAGTGAACCTTGCATGCATATTGCAAGTTAAAAGTCCAATGTTCGGAGCATTTACAACAGTCAAAATTTACACTTTGAGACACCAATGACTGAGTGTGAAAACACCCGTCTGTTTATCTCTCATTAAAATGAAATACATTACTATCACTGAAGTTAATTCTATAATCCTAACTGAAGTAGATCCTTGATACTGTTCTCTTTTTTCCATTGAAGTTCATCATGAAACTACATATCTGTCACTGTACTTCCTGGTAAGCGTTTCCCAGGGCTATAGCCGGGGGCAGCAAATGTGTGCGCTCTAAAATCTGACTGTTCCTCCTGCAGGACTAGACATGTCATATCACGCACCTCACTGGTCTTTTTGTTGCCGTTTGCATGATGCATGATCTTCAGAGCAGCAACTACTGTCACAAACTGGTCTCTGTTGATGTTTTGAAGTCGAATGATTCGGGGAGGTGGGACGTCACACCCTGATGCCTCGGGCTGACGCTCAATAAGTCACATTACTGCCAAGACATTTCACACGCAAGATCTCAACACATTACCTGCTGGGGGGTTAAGACATTAAACTTTCAAATGTCTCTGGTGTCAATCAACCAGTGTCAAATAAAGAGCACAAACTTTGTAAGAACAGTTCTCTAGCTCTATAATTACAGGTGTTTGAGTGTAAACCCCAGACAAACCAGTTGCCAATGTAAAAACTGTCTGAAATTCATTTTTCCCTTCTTTAATTCCTCTTAAAAGTAGCAGATCAAGCTGATTGCGCCATTCTGTATATTCTTGTGATAAAACTTCACCACCTAGCCAATTTTCCAGCCACTTTAATAACAACTGTTATGCTTGGTGGAAACCACAATAGGGAGCATTCAATTAATTTAACCGCTCGTTACTGTTGGAATCAGATTAATCTATTGTTAGTGGCTATGTATTCAAAACAAAACAGTAGCATACCACTTTTTAGATCAGTTAGGTTGGAGTTGTGGCCTAGCGATTAGCACACAAATTCTGACACAATAAGTGAGTTCTGTAGGTTCGAATATAGCGCCAAAAGATTTTCAAATTCTCTCTTTTCCCCATAATTTCCTGTTCTCTTGTCTGTGCCTAAAAAGACCAAGTAATAAAAATGGGGGAAAAAAACTGCATTCTTAAGTTAATGAAGTGCGATTCTGATGCTTCAAGCTTTATATAGACGGTTTCATCGGGCACACGCGCCTAGCCCGAAGTTAACTTCCGGTCTGTGTCAAATTCTCTCTTTTCCCCATAATTTCCTGTTCTCTTGTCTGCGCCTATAAAGACCAAGTAATAAAAATGGGGGAAAAAACTGCATTCTTAAGTTAATGAAGTGCGATTCTGATGCTTCAAGCTTTATATACGGTTTCATCGGGCACACGCGCCTAGCCCGAAGTTAACTTCCGGTCTGTGTTTGTTTATCAGTCTGGCTATGAGGGTTGGGTACCGTTCACATTTGAACCGGTACCGTACTGGTATCGGTACCTGAATTTCGGTGCCGGTACCCAACGGTACCTTTTTTCGGTACTTTACTCTCTGTGCAATTACAAAAACATTTATTTAATTGAAAAAATAAGTCCAAAAGTCCACAATTTTGAACAATAGGGCCCTACAAACTTCTTTTTCTTTTTTAATTGTATTATTTTCTACAATTAAGTGATTAACCTGGTTGTAATATTTATTTTTATCATTTAATTGTTTTATTTACATTTGATAGAAAATGGAATATTTAAAGATGTACATTATACTGTACAAAAGTAATACAAGAGTAATATATTTCTGTTACATGCTAAACCGTACTTTTATTTTGACAGATTGCCATGAAGTTTCTGTGTGTATACAGTATGATGATGCTAGTTTTCTCAAATGAAACGGTAAAATTCTCGCGAAGTGACTCTCACAGCAGCTCTGGAGATTAAGTTGTGTTCATGCCGTCATATAGTGAGACGCAGAGGCCAAAAATCACCCCGAGCGTCACGCGTACGTCAGTATTTGTGTAGTAAAAAAAAAAAACGCGTATCCGCCATTCATGCATACAGAGAGGCAAGCGGAACATGCAGGATTCATATTTAAACCATCTTTTTCATACAGAGAGGCAAGCGGAACATGCAGGATTCATATTTAAAACATCTTTTTGAATTTTAATATTCACAGACACTAGTTCATATCACGATTCAAATTAAGTGGCAGTGGCTACTTTTGATTTATTCGTCCAAAATTGACAAATTCAGTGGCATTCAATGC